GGGCGGATCACGAGGTCAGGAGATCGAGACCATCCTGGCTAACACAGTGAAACCCCGTCTCTACTAAAAAATACAAAAAACTAGCCAGGCGAGGTTGCGGGCGCCTATAGTCCCAGCTACTCGGGAGGCTGAAGCAGGAGAATGGCGTGAACCCAGGAGGCGGAGCTTGCAGTGAGCTGAGACCCGGCCACTGCACTCCAGCCTGGGCAAGAGAGCCAGACTCCGCCTCAAAAAAAAAAAAGAAAGTGGAACCACAACTCATTGAATTTTGGAGAGGAATAAACTTAGTATTAATATTGATGATATTAAGGCAATATTCTTATAGGAATACTATGTGCATGTTTGATATTTTGCCAAATAATAATTATTAAATGTTTAATAATAATATTAGCAAAATAAAGGAGTTTAATGCAGTGATCTTTGTTTTTGGCACATCAGAACTTCTCAGTCATTATTCATGTTTCTTTATGCTGCTGGCTTTTGTGCCCTTGAGGATTATAATAGTGACCAACATATATATGCAGATTTGTTTTTTATTATTGTTGTTTAAGCCTGATTTAAGAAAAAAAAATTCATACCTCGTGAACTTGCTATCTGCTCTGTTTCTAGCTAAAATATAATAAATATTATCTTCCTGTGCTGAAAAATAAATAAATAAATAAATAAATAAATAAATAAAATACCAGGCACAATGCTTGGCACATGGTACTGGCCCATTGCCTATGCAAATATCCTTCCTCAACATGGCTTTTATTTTGGAGTATAAGATGGTGGATATTTTTAAACACACATCTTGTAAAGCACATTTACAAAAAGACAGTGGTTGCATGCCCAGCTCGGAGTCAAGCCTTGGTTCTGCGTTGCCCTAGGAACCAAGGCCATGAGCCTGGGAGGGCTCGCTGAAACAGACAGTGCAGTTCATTAATACTCTCTGGAGGAACTTTATAAGTATATACTTAAGCGGTTTCATGGAGCACTGCTGTGCTCTCCTCTCCCACCCCTGGATGCTGATGCTGAATGATGTATGGAGTGTCCATCAGCTATGGGGATCCAGTGACAGTGGGGGTGATCTTTCTGTCCCCAGGATCTGGGGAAATCCATCCATTTGGTGGAAAGCAGGCATTAAGCCAACTTTGGAGGTCGGGGTAATGAGGGCCATAACCTGGATTTCTCAAAGATGGTGCTATTTATTCAGAACAAGATCAGAAACAGAACAGGTAAGGTGATAAATGACTAAAGATTGTTTGGGCTCCAGCCCAGCAGTGGACAGCTGTATGGGGTAGCGCGAAGAGTCTCAGACTATGAGTCCAGTTGTGAGCAAGTGTTTGCATGATCTGAGCTATTAATTCCTGCCCTGAACAGTTGCTGGCAAGAAAAATTATCATACATATACATTATATATGTACATATATATAATGCGTCTATACATATATACTTATATACGTAGTATATTTACAAATGTCTAGACCACCACTAGCCACAATGATGGAAATGTTCTATATATATAATCTCTAGTATGGTAGCCACTGGCTACATGTGGCTAGTAAGCAATTGAAACATAGATCATGTGAATGAAGAAATGAATGTTCAA